CATATTTCACGGCATGGGCACAAATAAAGAGGACATAAAGTGCGCTGATCGCTTTTTAAATATGAAACCGTGCCAAATTTGTAATATTATAATATATTTTTATATAAGAACATCTTGAAAAAAATGACCTTCAGTAATGACTTATGGTAATGACTTGTGTTAATGACACAAGTCATTAAAATCCTGATTTGTCAACGTCTTACTCGTCGATTTTTATAAATATAACTTTTTGTCTCTCCTATGTTTCATGATGAAACTCTACTGATCACTCTAGCGCTAGACATTTTAAATGAGTCAATACCTATTATATATACAGACACACTGAGCACAACTGAAGCTGAAACAGTCATGATAATATCGTTGCATTGTGTCCAATATGTCAAAAATGAAATTCTCGGTTATCAAAAAATGCATTGAGTTGACGGAAAAATATTGAGTGTGAATGATTTGAAGTAGTCTTCCAATAATATACAATACTTCCGTCTTGAATACTTCCCAACAAAATACTAAAATGAGATCACCATAAATCTTTTGGCATGTAGCACCAAACAAAAACTATGTACATAGTGTAAGCAAATAATAAATACTTTTGTTGTGTGCAGTTCATATCCAAAACAATATGACATAGATTTGCTGAACAATAATATAATACCAACTATGATAAACTGCAACCCACTTCAAAACAAATGCGATAGCAGCAATAATCCAACATATATCAAATGACTTACATATCTATAAGTATCTGTAGGCCTTAGTCTCTTCCTTTGTGAGAAGAAGTGAGTGGACTTACAAAGTGTCTGATTGGATTTAATCAGATGACTGCGAATATGATATGTTTCACTGTCCTCTCCAAGTTTACATACAGCCTCCATCCGTCTGTATTTAATTATTGTGTTCAGCAAAACCTTTATCATGGGCATATGAGGTTAAGCGTCGGATTGGAAACCAATCATATAAAACTCCATTCCAATGAACACGGAGAGAAAGCCTCAGATTAGGAAACCACTTACTGTTGATGATACAAGAAAAGTATCATAATTTAAAAATATTCAGGTTATATGTTGGAACTCTTTGCAGAGAAGGTTCATCTGTACAGTGGGTTATTTACTTCTATATTTTTAATTAAGTCTATAAAAATATGTACATAAAATTGAATGTGCAAAATAAAATGTTTATTATTATTCTTAATGGTTTTTTAAACAAATTATGAAATTTTTTGAAATATTATTCGAATTATACAAATTGTTGATGACTGTTCCATTTTTGATGGCTTTTATTGGTTTTCTTTAATTTTTTTTAAGTATTTTTTTTCGTTTTCCAAGTATAGTGATCGAGTCAGTTTTTCATCTTAATATATATACATGTGAAAAGTATACAACTTCACAACTCAATATCTCGAGCTATTAGCTATATCGGCATATACCGTAGAGAAAACAATTATGCGAAGTAGTTGACAACACTAAAATACTTTCCGGGGATCTCTATGACATAAAGTAATATAAAGTATCTTCGAAAAATGTAAGTGTGATAATACGTTTAGTTGTAGAAATGTCTGACGTAAACCAATGAATGGTGATCGACTCAACTGGAACATAATCCATATAAAGTTTTTAAGGTCATTCTTCTACTTCCACTTTAATTATTTTTGACATAGTATAACTTATCTAATAATGATACAAATCTCATTGGATTTCAATGCATTTTCAATGAAAATTGATATATTTAAGCAGCGTAAATTATTTTTTCAAGAGGTATATTCATATAAATCGAAAACGTATGTACTATATAAAATCCTGTGTTTATCCTAGATTACAATAAGTGTGTCTGATTGAATTTCTGAAACCCTAAATGAATGTATATCTTTTTTTTCTAATTTAAGTTGAAAAGTGTGAAGTAAAATATGTGATTTGAAAAATTAAAATTACATATTTTAGTAAAAAATAAATCATTCCAAACTTTTTAGAATTAAAACTAACAATAATTAATATTAAGAGCACTGCACACTGTCAATTTACGATTTCAATGATTACGCATGAAATGCTTAAAACAACATTGAAATGTTGTGTAAATTGTTTTTGGCATGCTTTTTTAGCAATAAATTAAAAACAATTAATATCATGTATATGTGCCCTTGATCAAGCATTCATTTTAATCCGCAATAGACACAGCCGTATGTACTATTTAAGGAATACATAAATATGAAAGAATAAACATTGGATTAATTCTTATATACAAAACATTACTGCACTAATGTTTTGCACGATCCAGCATATTGACAATCTCTCGTAGTTCTCTCCTGTGTTTTTGCGCCCGGCAACACACTTGTACCTAAAACGTCCCTTGCATAATTAGCCTCTATAATCAATCAAAACATGTAGGTGTATTGTAAACTCAGTTCAAATCAGTGTTTACAATCATGCGCATCACTCTATTCACTTGGCTGCCGTTATTGTAAAGTCGTCTTTTATGGGTCAATCATCATCGTTTGATGAATTTATATAAATAATAATGTTAATATTATGCACCTCCTTTTGTATGCCAATCTGACACATAACAAATATGTTATTGTCAATTTAGATTTTAAGTTAAATTCTATAATTTTTTGTAAGTGTGTATGAATTTTTTTTGAATCAATAAATAATAATAAATAATCATCGTACATGTGATTTATCTACATACTTACATTTACATACTTATGTATTGTAGTGTATTCTAATTAGTTATATTAAATATGTTATGTTAAAATCAATTTATGTTAAATAAGTTATGTTAACATCAATTTATATTAAACAAGTTAAGTTAAAAAGTTATGTTAAGAAAGTTATGTTAAAAAAACTATGTTAATGTTAAATACTTATGTTAAAAATTGTAGATTAAGGAAATTATGTTAAGTAATAAATAATTCCATTATAACGGGACTAAAAGTTCTAAGAAAAATATATAAAAACAGAGCAAATTTGAATAAAATTATCAGTTGAAGTCTAACACTTGAGTTTAATTGACAGCAATATTTTGCTCCTTTAGTGAAAATTGCTAAAAGCGGAATATCTTGCTCCCTTATCGAGAATTCTTTTTATTTGGATATTCTGCTCCCTTAGCGAAAATCCTAATATATTCAGATATAACAGATGAATATTATAGTATACATTAAACTGTCAAGCATTCATTTTCAGATGGCTATCACTCGTGGATTTTTCATATAAAAATTGAGATATTTTCCTTGTAATATACATATAAATTTATTTAATTATAATTGCAAAATATTTATTGATATATATTTTTATGCGGGCAATAATTCCTAAAATTGTTTGTAATCTATATCTGTTACTATATAAAATAACAATCAGCATCGTAAATGTAAATGTTTCTTACTGAAGAATACGCAAAATGCTATACCTATATATATATATATACATTGTGACCGAAAAGTTTTCGGGAAATTTTAAATAAAACGCAAAATTCTTAACCTTCATCAATATTTATTTTATCTCCTTCAAAAATATGCTCCATTAGAAGCGATACACAAATGCCAACGTTTCTTCCAATCATCAAAACATTTTTTTATAGGCGCTTTCCGGTATGGCTTTGAGTTCCCTCTGCGAATTCTGTTTTACGTCTTCTATGGATTCAAAACGCGTTCCTCTGAGTGGTAATTTGAGGTTGGGAAACAGGAAAAAGTCACACGGTGCAAGATCAGGTGAATACGGTGGCTGTTCGATGGTATTTATTGAATGTTTGGCCTTAAAATCGTTGATAATGTTGAACAAATTGAGGTGAATCGGAACAAGCCGGGCGTTGACACGTCGCATACACAAATTGTCCACCAAAATCAAACGAGCCATCTCACGACCGATGCCTAGCTCTCGTGCTATCTCTCTAACACTCACATGAGGATTTTTGAACACGATTTCCTTTGCCTTTTCAATGTTTTCGTCGGTGGTAGAGGTCGAAGGTCGTCCAGAACGCGGCATGTCTTCGACGGTCGTACGACAGTCCTGAAAGGCTTTGTACCACTCATAAACTTGAGTTTTCGATAAAACTGATTCCCCATAAGCCTTTTGTAGCATTCGCAACGATTCTGCACACGAAATTTCGTTCGAAAAACAAAATTTGATGCAAACTCTTTGTTCAATATTTTTTTCCATTGTTTTTTTCGCAACGCACTACTGAGGTGAACTGGTTTCAACAGCTGCCGTAAACGAACTGTCTGATAGATCGCGCTCATTTTTGGCATAGTAATTAAGGACAGTGCTGCCAAACTACATAAACTTAAAATATCGAAAAATATACAGCGCGCGAATTTTAAATGAGAATATCCGAAAACCTTTCGGTCTTAATGTATATGCATTCATACGTATATATATTTAATGCCGTATATACGACTTCATAAGTTAGAATTATGTGCTGTGGACAGCTTAAGAAATCTTTGCGAACGAGAGTTTTTAGTGCACCGATTGGACTTGTGAACTATTAAATTAATATTTGTGAACTCAAATTAATATTTTCTCAATTTCTAAGAATTACTATTGTTAAGAATTTTTAGAATAGTATTTAACTCACAATACTAATTATTAGCAGTGTTCAAGTATTTAAACAAACAATTTGCAATTTTATCATTACAAAAAAAGCGTTAAACAAATGTGGATTATTAATGAAAACTTAAATTTTTTCAGTTGTCTATTAGCGTCAATCAATCAATTGCCTTCCTTTTTGTGTGGTTTTATGCATACATTATTCACAAACACTTTGAAAATAATTCTTCATTACAAATCAACGTGTGAATGATGCTTAAAAATTTTATTGTAGATAAAAATTTCCATTAGTTGGCAATTCCAACAAAATAATATGACAGTTGACGTAATATACTAGCGCCACCTTGAGCAAAAAGACAGCGAGCAGAAATGTGATTACTTTTAAATATAATACTGCTTAAATATAAATTATATAAAACTGTTTAAAACTATTCATTGTTTAAAAATAATTTATTTTTTTTATAAAAGAAATAGAACAAGTGGAGAAATACATACACTGAAATATATATAAAATAATATATTTCATTGTATATCAGCTGTTCAACATGCAAAACAAGAAGGGAATGATAAATAAATATTAGTTCCGAGCCACTAAATGAAAACAAAAGTATTTTTATATGTACATTACTTATAATTATAAAATACATTAATAAATTTTCTAATACATTAGACGCTAATATGCTATGGTAAGAAGAAATGTTTTAATGAAGGTTATTGAATTGTTTGACTTCCACGTCTTGTCCAGAAATTCATTTTGTAACCTGTGTAAAAATAATTTGCGATTAAATATTCAACAAAAACTATTTTTAAATGTATTCAAAGAAGACATATTGATTGGCGTCAGTTGAAATTATCTTATCTCGTAATTTACAAAAGCACATAATTTCTAAAAATTAATTTTGTATGGTTCAAATGTTGGTTACCATTAAATATAGATTTTTTTATTTAATTTGGTGACAAACATAAATTATTCTCAATAATTAATTTCAAGTAAAAAACATATTTAAATGTATTTATTAAAATTTATTAAAAATTGTAATTTGATAGTTCAAATAATCTGCTTAAAAGCACTTTTTTTTAGCTAAGTAGTTAGCAGATTTCTCTCAGCATTGATGATATAATATATTATCAATAATTTATTCAATTATTATATTATACCATTATTTCGCGCATATTCAATCTAACGCCTGGAGGATGTGGAACAAAGTCAATAGCTTATCATTTACAATATTAATTTCTTAGTCTAATATCCATAATCTTCCAGATTACACTTTAAGTTGCCCATTTTGGAGTAAGAGAATGCGGCCACTATTTTTAATTTAAAGGATTTTCAGTTGACCAAACGCTATGACTTACCGCAGGTAAAAAAGGTACAAACTTTTTGTTCATTTTTTAAATACGTTTTTGTTTTCCATTTGTATTAAATTATTGCCTTTTATTAGATCAAAAGGAACATACACATAATATAACATAAATTATAGTTATAATAAAAGTTAATTATAATTTTAATGTTTCGGATTATTAAGTAGTATCTCTTTATTATTTTCCAATTACTGTAAACTGTTGATTACTATTTGACTGAAAATCTCACAGAGATAGAGATAATGAATCTTCCTAATGATTTAAATTGCATATAACTCTGCTTTAAAACGCTCTTTTAATTTTGGTAAAACTTCTGTGCTTTTAGTTTATTTGATATATTTAAAGCTTAGTCTTAAAGTTCGGTTTTTTTTTCTAAGAAAGTATTTAAGGTAGAAAGAACTTACATAAATAATAGGGACTTGGCCAAGTTTACGTTGACCACTGAGGTGCATTTAGGAATCCTTGTGTTCTGTATATGAATAACGTTAATCCATGCAATCACAACAGACCAATATTTGAGCTCAAGTGAGGTGTGATCACAAGTTCGTCATTCCAACCTAGCCTAACCTTAACTAAACCAGATAGAAACTTATCTACAAAAAAGTTTCAACAGATTCTGCTATAAATCATTCAGTTACTATTTATCACTCAATAGATTAAGAATCTTTATTTCCTTAATTATTTAGATATAAATACTTTTTCGTTTGCTGAAAAAAATTTAATTTTTTATTTATTATAAACAATTACACAATATAAAATCTTATAACTTAAAAAAAAGAAACAAACATTAGCTTCCAGGGCTTTCAGTACAATAAAAATTGAAATAAAAAATACTACATATATGGATTGTACAATATATGTTTTTAAGAAAATTTATATATGTTTAAAAAAATTCGTTAACATATGAAGAAAACAATATTTAATGTTTAAAATTATTGTTATGAAATATGTAGCATTTAATAGAGGAACAGTCATTCACCGGCCATATATAGAATTTATTTATAAATTCTATATTCTATATTTTTAATTTAACAATATATCTTTATTGAATCGCTTTAAATTAAAGCCTATCAATAAGTTTTAGAATCTTAAAGACTAATAACATTATATTACAAATTATATTATATAAACATACTGTAATGAATAAGTAGTCAGGGCTTATTTATCAGATATCACGGCGTATACGTTGAATTAATCAGGATGATCTTTAGGAAAGCAAGATGGCGGGTTTATCATTCCGTTTTAGTCTAGAGGAAGTTATCATATTAGCAAGAGGTCTAGCCAGAGGATTCACATGATTTTCAAAATTTAAAATGTGTTTTTGCCTTATTCTCTCGAATTCAACTGTAACCATCGGAACTTTTAAATCGAAATGTATGTTTCCATTTCTGAAAATATATAAAATCTATTAATTAATTAATATTAATAGAATACGTTGTCAAACTAGTACCATGGTGCCTGGTACACAGTTTAGAATTTTTAGAGATTTTTTTTTGCAACACCTACTCTAATATGTAACTACAGGCTTTATATTAGAATTTGTGTATTTTGTCAACTTGCTAGTATTTTTGAGTCAACCTCCAGTTTGGTTAGATTGAGAGGGCAAGTGCTGATATAACTCTCTGCACTTCCATTCAGAAACATATATTGCCCATTCTGATGAAATAACACTAACTATTGTTATTTTCTAGTATTGTCCTTGCTAAACCATTTGGTGTTTCTATTCATTTGGTATCTAAAATATTGAAGTCGATTCGTCTGCGTATCCCTAACAAAGACGTAGTGAATGATTAATGGATTCTATCTGTTCTTAATCATAACAACTTCTGCACAATCCACTAGTCAGAATATGCCACCGTTGAAGCATTGGTGCAATGACTAGTACCCATCATTCTGTTAATCTAAGTATTTTGATAATATATTCCATTCGGCATCTAGTAACATTATCTTTCTAATTATTTCAACATTCATTTTTGTATTCTTATTGCCAGCTAACATATGTAATAAAAAGCACAAACAACACCATAGGGAAAATAGCCCCAAACTACTATTTTCGCACACAATGTTTGATGGTATTTGGAATGTATATGTTGTTGTGGTAAACAGTAGAGATCTACACAGCATATAAACATGAAAGGATTTACAAACACGTATATATGGGTTAGGATATAATTAGGTGAAGAAGGTGTGAAAAGAAAAAGCAATGCTTGGGGAAGAAATGGATTAAGGATAAGTGAAATTTTAATTGAAGCTAACCTGAGCCAAGGTGAAGAAACCTAGCCACTTCAATGAAACGAAGCCAAAGTTGAAATATTATAATTCCCTAATATCCTAATAATGAATATAGAATTATAGTCTGTATTTTAAAGAAGACATAATATTTTGCACTTTCCTATGCACAAAATATTTCTTGATTTTCTTAGTGGTCACTTAAAATTTTTTTTCAAAAGACCTCAATAAAGGCACCATTTGTGAACTACACGTAAATCCCTTTTAATCTTTACAACATCTATGTATTGCTAATAAACTTACTGCAAGATTGAACTTACTTTAAATAACTTTTGTGGATCCAAACTGTTTTTATCTTAACCGATTAGTATTGTTCCTGTTGAGAGGGGTTAGCGGCACGTCATATCTGTAAATGTGTGGCTCTGGAATGTTGAATCGGCTGCTCCTAGAACTCAAAAGCTGTACTTTGGTCCTGCACTTGAAGTAAATCATCTCTACACTGTGCAATAAGTTAAATGCATATCTTCTGTCTGTGCCATCGTTTCTAAATGATAGAAATCTTCACCTATCACCAAATATATCCTCAGCCACCCTCTTTACTTCTTGGACTAAAGAGGTATCCATGACTCTGCCCATAAATATCGATAAATTCAAGATCCCCACCACCTTCAAACCTTAAATGCTGGGTGTCGTACTCGATAGTATGCTGACCTCTTGTGCACATGATTCTGCTATGTGTGGCCGTTTGAAGTCTTGCAATAATGTCCTAAAAGTGCTCGCAGGTTGTTCTTGGGTCAAAAATAAAGAAACCCTACTGAGCACATACAAAGCAATAGGTCGTTCTATTGCAGCCTATGCAACTCCAGTATGGACCCCATAATTTAGCGAAACGCAATGAATAAATCAAAAGACGAAATTGCGAATTGCATCTGGCGCTGCCATCGCATGATGAAGGAGCACAATCAACTACTGTTCAAACAATATCTCCTTGCGTGCCACACAGATGGACACCTCAATGGCGACATAGCTAGTAAAGCACTCCTTCCTAGATGCATTCGTTGATTCCTCCCTTCTTATCAAAGATATATCGACACCCTTTGCAATGGAGCCAACATCAGTGAGGTCAATATTAACGTGGACTTACGGCTCTCCACACAGATGCAGTATCCTCCTCAAGACCTAGGTTGTCTGACAACAAGGTTCTCAATAGGCCCCCGTCTGACATCTCTCTGGAAGAACGGCATTGAAATCCAAGCTTGATCCAAGCTAATGTTCAATTTCAGCTGAACCACCCAATCCTCTTCATCCACTTCCCCACTACATCTCCCCCAACCACTAGCTACCCACTACCCTTCCCATGTAATCGTCTTGTATATCCTTTCATGTTATCTGCTTGCAGATCCCAGTGGGTTACATCAACAACAACATCTCTCAAAATTTATTAATACCGCACACATCTTATCAAATGTCTACCGTCATTAACTGTTTTTATGGAATTTATTAAGTCAGCCTCATACTTATTTATCTACAGAGTCTTCCAACTATATGATTTAATATGCATTTTTTGTTTGTCTGATCCACGATCACTGGTCCACACATTATAAAGACAATGAACGTTTTTGTTATGACAACTTAAATAACTTAAGACGTATTATGGAGCAATGCAATGAGTATAACACAACTCTGTACCTTGTTTCTTTTTTTCTAATAGAGAATTATTATAAGCGATCAATTAACATGTGGAAAAGTTATATGCAATAAAGACAATAAACAGGGCAAATTAAATAGAGTAACAAACGTAGCTAGTAACGAAGATTTAAACTTTAGAAGATTTAGACTTTAAATGTCATATAACGTTGAAAAGGAACCCCCAAGATTGAAGGTGATGTGGCAGAACGACTAACTGGAGGTGAACCATATACTCGGGAATATATTTAAAGAAATAAGAAACTTACTGGTAATGAAGAGAAATGGAAATTCTATACTAAAAGTCTATTATTGTACCCATGACCTACGTCAATGCTTAATGCGACAAGTTATTGCATTATAGACAAAACAAATTTGACATGATTTATTGAATGCACTTTTGTTGATCTGTCTCTATAATTAAAGAACACACTTGTTTTTTTTTAAAGTCTCACGTTCTGTACGGCATATTTGCTGAGAACAATATCCTATACGGCACATTTGCTGAAAGGATATCATAAGCGTCTGGAGAGCTAAGACAATACTCAAAATTCTATCATAATAATAAATTAGCATTACATGACGATCCTGCCATTATATATCAGAAACTTTGTATTAACATTACATGGTAATCCTGCCAATACTTTACAAATATCATTACATGAAGATCCTGCCACTAATATTACACTAAATTCCTGGGGGAATACAACTACATATATAAATATAAGCTGATATATCATTGTGATATATTTTTTAGTGATTGCTCACAATTGGGACACATTTTAAAAAAGACCGTTGCCTTATGATAACACATCTCACGCAACGGTCATATTAAACCCCCAAGACAGCAGATAACGTGACTGGAATGACTATGTTAACAATTGCGATGCCTACATACACAAGCCGAGTATAAGGTTTACTCTTTATTCTTTGGCCTATGGCGACTTTAGATTAATTGATTTCTACAAAATAATTCAAAAGAGAATAGTTACTCGAACTGCAATTGACAGGTCTATTTAAAACATCTTCTATGTAAAAGTGTTCCGAAAATATTTCTTAAAACTAAGATGGCAATTTAATTCTTTAAAATATAAAGAATTCGATTTGCTTAAATAATCAAAAAAAAGTTATTATGAAAAATTTTAGTTAAAACTATTATGAAATAAATTATAATATCTTGTTGTTGGCTGATTTCGAAATTTTATTTAATATGCGTCTCTTTTGTTGTAGGTTTAATTTTCGCGAACTAAGACGGAAATTCCTAAGTTTACCAGCACCTTGCTGCGAAGTACATAAACGTTACATTAATGACCCAAGAAGGAAATCTCGTAATGAAGCACAGATTGTTGTTGTTGGTGCTGGATTGGCTGGACTATCTGCCGCGAGTCATCTTATTAAGAATGGCTTTACTTCCACCATTGTGTTGGAGGCAACAGAACGTTATGGTGGACGCGTAAAATCCGAGCATTTCGGTGATGCATATTGTGAGCTCGGTGCGAAGTACATTACCATTGATTCTGCACGAAACTCCATATATGAGCTTTTATCCGAGACACACGGCTTAGAAAAGCAAACAGCAAAACGAGATAATATAGTTTATGTGAATTTACTTGGACAGACAATTAACAAACGTATGCCAGATTTGATTGATGCACTATTCCGTAAACTATGTTCGGGTATTGAACTACAAGAAAAGTTTGAAACAAACAGTCTTCATGACTTGAACAACGTGGAAACATATTTTCAAGCGGAAAGTCGGAAAATATTGGAGAACATGTTTAAAGGAGAGGAGGCGCGAATTGCTGGTGATATATTCATAACACTTTTCAAAGAGTTTGGAAGTCTCATTGGTTGCTGTTTAGACTACCTTAACATAGAACATATACGCAAGGTGCATAACACTAATCCTAACCCATTATATATTCCACAAGGTCTAGATAATATCTTACGTCCTTTGACCGACATAATAACCGAGCATAATATTAAAATGGGCAAGCCAGTAGGACAAATAAAATGGTATGATGCTTCCACGACGTCAACAGCTAAAGCACATTTAGTCGGTTGTCTTGACGGAAGCTCATTTAATGCTGATCACATCATATGCACATTGCCGTTAGGCGTTTTAAAAAATTTCTCAAAATATATGTTCAAACCAATGTTACCGAGACACAAAGTAAACGCCATACGTAATATTGGGTACGGTTCACCTGTTAAAATTTATCTAGAATATAATAAGAATATAAAATCGTGGTTCACGGCGAATTTACGCCCGCTGTGGAATGAAGAGGAACGAGGCTCAGGTCTAAATTGGTATAAACAAATTGTTGAAATATCAAAACTACCTACTAGCAAACATGTGCTTGAAGTGTTAATAGGTGGCGCATTCTTCGGTGAAATAGAGAAGCTTCCTGAAGATCAGATAACCAAAGAGGTCACTACTATACTGAGAATCTGCTTAAAAAATCCAAAAGTACCGTATCCAAAGTCTATATTACGTTCAAATTGGAGTAACAGCGCTTGTTTCTTGGGTGGACGGCCCTACTTTTCTGTCAACAGCACTATTAACGATGTTAACATTTTAGCCTCGCCACTGGGAGATAGAGCTGCACTTCTTTTTGCTGGAGACGCTACAACTCTAAGTGGTTTCGGTACTGTCGACGGTGCGCGCCAGAGTGGCATTAGAGAAGCAGAACGTCTTATTGAATTTTACAATAGTACATCAGCATAAAATTAAATCCAAATTGTAAGTAATTTTTTTCTTAAATGCAATACATTTAATAATTGTTTATTACAATTTTTACAACAAATTTAAATAACTACATTGAACAGTAATATATTAAATTTTTAAAAATGTTTATTTGTAAATAGCAATTTTAAGCAAAATTTTGTCGTTGCAATTATTTCGTGATAATAAATTTCTGCATATATTAAACTAATTATAAATCTTTAAATTTTAATTAATAAATTCTTAAATACATTTAAATTATTTCTTTTAATTTATATAGATAAATAGAGAAGGTTTAGGACCACAGACTATTCTTTATCTTTTTTTCATTTGCAAAATATGTAGGATTGGCAGTTAATATCTTCGTTACGAAGGAGGTATGAATGATGTTATGTTATTACTGATTTTCCGATTATGCCACACACGCAGCCTGTGGGGGAAGATGTATTCAGGATCTAAAACCCACCGAAATGGTGCGAAAAGATATATTTATATTTGTGCATATTCTTTAACAATCCCACATGAATGTTTAAAAATATTGTCATTTCTTTTAAATTACTGAAATGATCTGAAAGCACTCCCCGAAGTATACTTCTGAGCAACGACCCTGGCTTATGCTTTAATACACTTTGTGTAAAAAGGATGTGGACTGATCAATTAAATAAGATTTTTTTTATCACCTTCAAAATAGGCGCCACTGATTACAATACAACTATGATAGTGCTGGATCCTTTATACGAATTCTCTATACGATACATTTTTCGTTGGCGGATTTGCGTATGTTTTTCAACTGATTCAACGAATTCTAGGTTATGGCTGCAAACGATACGAAACAAAGTAATTTGAACTTCGGGAATAGAAAAAGTCACACATAGTCATGTTAGATATCTGCTGTTGCTAGTTACCATAGCCATTATCGTAATCCGAAGATACCTAATATTATTTTCGCTATTGGAAGTGGTAAGCGGAACTCGGTCGATTATGCAGACGAGAGACGGTACGTAAGTCCGATGGTTCCTCGAATGGTACTTAGTCGATGACGTTAGTGCTGCCAATTTATACGAATTAAATTGTGACGTTTTTTAAATTATAATAATTTTGGTTACTTTTTACATACAATATATATGGAAAATATTAAAGTCAATTTAGAATTGCTTATCTATATATTGATTGAAATGCAACTTTGGACTTTAAACATTTAAATTATATATTTATAAATTCATTTGTATTAATAAAATAAAAAATCATTTACACATTTGTCTCAAACAATATTATATTAGTCGTCTAAATGAGGGTTTTTTATTTTTCCAGGTAATTTAATAATTATAATTATATATAATTATATGTAATATAAATATATATAAATATATATATATATAAATATATATATATGTAATATAAATTATAATTATATATAATTATATTTAATAAATTAAATATTTCAACTGTCAAGTTTTTTTAGTAGGTTAGTACATTCAAAGATTCAAAGTAGATTCAGTGATACGAGAGAGACAATCACATCAGATTTGTGATTTATCTTAACTTAAGAAAATATTCAAATTTGAACTAATAATATACAATAGGGAAAAAAAGAATAACAACGATTCAATTTATAATTATAATTTATTTTTTACATATAATATATCAATGTATAACAAGCTAAATGAACTTAAGTGTGGCCTCGAAATATATGCAATAAGAACGGATTAGTATTCGTTTGGTTTGGATTAATCACAGGACTGGTTTTTACAAATTTTTTTAAATGGAATGGAATCAAAGCAAATTCTCTAAATATATATAAGCAGAACGCTCTTTCCATTATTAACAGCAATACAGACAATATGCTAAGATAAACTACTAAACTGAGATATAGTACTATATATATATATTATCTTTATTATTAGACATGCAAGAACTTATGTATAACTTTGTAACAATTTAAATAACATTAGCTTAAATGATAAATATGAATATATATATTTTTTAAAACAACAATCGAAATGTTCAACACTTAAAGTAAGTAAAATGCATACTTGAAATATTAAAAGGTGTCTTTCTTGTATGCATTAATAAATTGTTCCCTAATCATGTTTACTGTTCCATAATCTGAGTCTTTTCGTAATATTCATGTGGCATTATTTGTTATTATATCTTCGATGGGATATCATTTATTTCTCCTTTAAAACTTCATCAGCAGCGGCGCTTACCTCCTTCCAAGAATACTCAATATCTTCTGGTTTAGAGAACCTAGAGCAGACAGCCATGCGTAAGAAATAGACATCGCGTATTTTGGATGGCACCATATGAATGTTACCGCGGCCATTGATTCTCTTCAACAAGACTTCATTGATTTCATTAGTGCCTTTCAAACGGAAGCAGACTAAGCCCATATTAACTTCACCAACTATTTCGAAACGTTCATCTGCTTTACATAATTGTTCAAATTGTTTTGCAAAGCCGCAATGACGACGAATGTGAGCTTGTAGATTTTCAACGCCATATAAACGCATCACAAACCATAACTTCAAAGCACGGAACCTACGCCCAAGAGGAATTTGCCAATGACGATAATCTGGAGCAGATCCTTGCATATCATGCTTTAAATACAATGGATCAACATTGAAAGCATTAACGACCCATGTGGGATCTTTGAGCCACATTGCACTACAATCAAAGTTAACCAACATCCATTTATGTGGATTGAAATTAAAACTGTCAGCCGTTTCAATGCCATTCATTAAATGTCTATATTCTGGGCAAATAAAAGCTGAGCCTGCATAAGCTGCATCAACATGAATCCAAACATCATACTTGTTACCAACTGGACCGCATTCATTCAAATAATCGAAAGCACATGAATTCGTGGTGCCCAAGGTAACGACCGCCTATCAAAATAAAATTACAATCTCAAATTATGATATAATTGTGATATAAAATAAAAATAAAATTGAAATTCGTAAATATGTTTTCCTTTTTTTAAATAACTTACATAAAATGGTATTAAACCCTCATCCAAGTCTTTTTTAATTGCATCTTCCAAAGCGCAGCCACGTAAACGATTGTTCTCATCTGCTGGCACCGAGCGTAATTTAACACCACCAAGTAAACCAGCACGTTCCACAGAAGAATGAGCTTGTTCTGAACTATATCCAACTAGTTTAGATATTATCGTATTGTCATCCCAATCCGGATGAATTTTCTTTACTTGTTGGATTTTCTTTGCCTTAGCACTTAACAATGCAACAAGAGTTGCTTCGCTGGCTGTTCCTTGTATAACACCACCGCCCTTACCACCAGAACATGCCAGAAATTCCTCAGGCAGATTTAACATTTTGCCCAACCAATCTAACATAACAACTTCCAGTTCAGTGCAAGCTGGACTTGCAATCCAGCTGAAGCCAATACAAGCAATGGCGCCGCTAAGCATGTCGGCCACAATGGCTGGATAGCTATTGGCAGTAGGAAAATAGGCATGAAACTTTGGGCTATGCCAATGCGTAACTCCTGGCATTATGACTCTTTCGACGTCTTTCATTACATCCTCCCAAGACTCTGGTTCCTGGGGTGCATTATCAGGTATAAGCGGACGCAGGTAGCCGGGTTCAACAGTAGGAAGAACACGTCTATTAATTAAAAATTGAATAAATTATAAATTATATATTTTTAAAATATTAAACGATTTTATCAATTTAACGCATGTGTTATGATTACAGGTGAGGAACTTCTGTGTAGAACAGGGGTTGTTAAAGCGACAGATATTACTTGAAGACAATATTTTCAAACCCAGACTGTACTGTCTGGTCTGTCAACTGAAACAATATTCAATGCAATGCAGTTTAAATGGATTACAGGTAAAATAATCAATCTGTTTTACAAGAACTGATAATAATGTCTTCTCAAAAATAATATCGTTAGAAATGAAAATACAATATGTTTCAAACCGGTGATGTTAATCCCGCCAGCATTTGAGAAACCCTACTATAAGGTGTATTTTGAATCGAAAAGAAAATAACGGGATCTGCTATAATATATGGTTGCAAAGAACAGATTATAATCAAAATTGGAATTATGATGAATAGATATATATACTTGTATATAATGGGAACTTTGAATTACCGCAATAAGTGCTATGAATGTTTTAATTGATTTATGAGAAGTTTTTTGATGAAATCGATAGTGAACGATATGGACTACAGCAGTAGTTCTCAATTCAAAATGTACTGTAGACCAAATAATATTTAATGTATTTTGCAAGAACCAGTACCAATATTTCCTAAAGCACAAGAAGCAGTGCACTACAGAATCATTGAAGCATTATGTTCTCGATTGCAAGACTAATAGCCTAAAATACACGTTTTGTTGACAAAATTCACTATAAAATCACTTTATTTCTAGTAAAAAAAATCGACTAAAAAGTTACTTAAAAAAAGCATTATAAAAGAAATGAACTAGATAATTACTACAAAAAATAATATTAATTCCAAAATTTAATATATGTATATGTCTTTAGGGAAAGTGTTACGCTACTCAATTATTGAAGAATTATGTTCTGTTGGACTGGATTGCAGGACCAATGACCTATAATACACTTTTGTAATGAAGTAAGCCACAATGTCTTTAATAAAAGAATTGCACTACTCAGTGCGGATGAATTAAACAGCCAGAAAAAATCTAACATACGTAAGTGCCCCCCAAGTTGCAAAGAACTTCTTCTTAAGTTGAGTTTTCATTTTATTAGAGTCTACTATCGGATAATTACAGGTTAATACTATTAAATTAATACTAATTAAACTGATTATAAATGTTCACTTATTTTTTTTTATCTCTAACACTATCTCTAGCAAAAAAAATTCACTACACAACTGTTGAAGAATTATGTTATGGATTGCAAGAGTAATGACCTATAATTTACGCTTTTAAAGTCCCGACCCACACTATCTCTAGTAACAGAGCTACTCTACACAATGCAAATGGAATGAAGAGCTAGAAAGAAATGGTGAAATACTCAACAACGATGTATTTTATCCGAATATCAGACTTTAAGTCAGTGTTTTAGAAATGTTAATAAAATTGGGATTTTCCAACTACGATTATTGCACAAGAAATAGATTAGCATAAGTCCACCTCGCAATTACTTATTCGATTTAATTTCTTTGCTGCAAGTAGAATTGTTTGAAATTTGCTACAACAACCGCGACAATCATTACTTATTATACGTTCCGAAAAGGCCTTGACATATTGTTGTAATTATAATTTAAACATTATTTAAAATATTTTTCTTGTTTTCATATTTTTTTTTTGTTTTTGGCTTTGGGTTTTTGTAATCGCAATAAAATAAAAATTCAACGTAAACCCAGTCGAGCATTAAAACGAAACGAAGCTGGCAATGACTAATGCCATGGGGAAGCTTGCAGGTGTCGCTTGCAAATTCAAGAACGACTGGTTTGGTAAGATTTTTAAATTAGTTTAATTAGATTTAAATGAAATGAAATTAACACAAATGGAAGTGAACATATACTTTTCCAGATTAAGTATAAGCAGCAAAAAAGAAGAGTTTCAAGTTGATCGAGTTGAGGCTATTGCTTTCTAAGCTGCAGTTCACTTACCTATCACGTATATTTTCCAAATATTCGGCAATGTAATCCACCATAGACTTGGCAAAATCTTTGAATTCTGGTGCTTCCATATCGATCTGTATAAATTAAATTCAATGAAAAATTACTTCAGTTCAATAAATTATACAATAATGGCACTAATTTACTTCAATAGAATTAAGCTAATTACAATGTTTACTAACTAAAAGTGAGTGGCAAAAATTTAAAATAATTTTAATTACCCTTGTACCCGTAAATAACTATATTGTTATAATTTATTTTGATAGCAGTGGAGTTATATATATACATTAATCAAATGGAATAATTTACATCTTTAATCATAATAATCTATTATAAAGTTTCTTAGAAGAAATTAAATATGATTTAAAAAAAAACAAACTAGTTCAAATTTTAACTAATAGTCAAGAGTAGCTATTATCTCTAGAAGTTATTTCTAATGGAAATCAATATAGAGTATACAAATCATATTTTTGCTTATGTCAGGAATGCACTCCTCTCTCTGAAGGACTACTATTGGAAACGTAATATAACCCTTTGTATTTGTCTAAATGTCATGAAATATAACGACATATAACGACATATCAGTGCAGGAACTGTTTTATAGACGCATGTTATTGCAAGAATCTATTTTGCTATTTTAAAAAATCGTATTTTCTTTGGACTTCTCTTTCTATTATAATTAAATTGTGCGCTTCATTCATATATTATTATAAATACTATTATTTATTAATAAATTTAAAATAACACTTCACTCGTTATACTGTATTTATTTCTATTCATTATATACTGTATCTATTTCATTCCCCCATAAATTTCATATATTAATGTTGTTCTCTTTTTTTAAATCTCTGGCAATTATTTATTCAAAATCTTATCAATTTTTTTATATGATTTTGACCTTGACTTTGAGTCTAAATAAAAACATATCAAGGTTCTGTCACTTAACACTTTCTCTTTTAATTGTAGCAGTTCCGACTGTTCGAGAACGACTCCTTAAGTACTTTACATACATTATATTTTTCTCATTACAAAATAAATAATTTATTTAATTTTATTTGTTTTAATTGAAATCTGTATTGTGTAATATTTATTATTTATAATAGAAAAAAAGAGTTTACTCACCGACACCTTTAGATCCAATTTTTCTAATTCAAATGGAAGTAGGCCTTCGCCATTGTTAGTTTCTTTTGATTGATTATTGTTATTCATGCTGTGGTTAGTTGGAAAGAAGCTTAGAAGTTTAAAAGAAAATAGAAGCTTGAAAAAATACTGAAAAAGGAAAAGGAATGCGTTTATCTACATGGTTTTATAATTTTTAATCGATAGATAATGAATTTATGGTATATACAATTCTTATATACATATTAATTCTTATATATATATTATGTACAATTCTTTTTGACAAATGTCATATGCATATATCTTAGTTTAATAAGATGAGTACGTTTTAAAAAAAAGGAAATACAGTCAAACTTCTATAACTTGAACTTCTATAACTCGAATTTTCTATAACTCAAACTAAATGGAATACAACAGTGTTTAGTGAGCAAATTACATACAATTATGAAAAATTCTTGAACTTGAAGTCTCTAAAAGTCGTACCTTTTCTTTGCAAAATGGTACTTCAATTTATGGAAGTTTAGTTTGATTGTATATTAATACATATATTATATGGAAATCTTTTTGCAGAAAGATACCTAACTTCAATTTTGCAGGTCTTAAGTTGGAGGTAAAAATAAATTTTAGTCTATTAGTTTGGAGGTACTTATTGCATCGACTTAAGTTTTTGTACAGAAAGGAACAGTTTGTAAGAACACTTATCTTAGTGCCTATAAAACAAGCAAAGGTCTATAAGTTCTTACTTTTAATAATATGTATGGGCTGTGTTATTTAGAGTTTCATGGACATGTCAAAATTGTTACTTTAGGGATTTGACAAAAATGCATGTTATGTAGAGTGTTACAGAAATTGTAATATTTTGCTACTTAAAGACATAAATGTTGACATTTATTAGTCAATAAGACTGCTTTGCCTGAGTAGCGAGACACAGATAGTCTTGGCTCTCATGACCAAATATGAACCGACACTTTCCCTCTCAATTTTACAATTTGCATTGAGAAGAACAACAATTTTGCTCAAGACGAGCCCCACCAAGGGGGAAGTTATGTCCAAACACATAACTTCAACTGCTACCAGCGGAATTCCTCGAAGTTTCAATGGACCGTTCATCGACGCAGTATACCGGAGCGTGATTGAAGAACATCGTGGTGTTAAGTCTTCTGGACCTACAAGATGAGCCCAATACATTCTACATAACATGACTCAATGGAAAACAAATTTTTTTTGGATGATTTTAAATTTCATACCTATTGACATACGTATCTTTCTGCAATAAACCATTTTTTATAATATATATTACTAAATATAGTATAATATAATTTTAACATAAATAGATCTGCTACAGTCCATAAGGAATTACACTAGAAAAAACATGTTTTAAAAAATTATTAAAGTAAATTTGATAGAATATAATTTATATTTCAAAACTATAACACAAAAACGGATAACTTGATTAATAGAATATGAAACTTTATTTTATATTTGTGAAAAAAATTTCTTTAAATCTAAAATGATATATTTTGTTACAATTTTTTATTGCAATTGGAAATAATTCATTATCTTCTTACTGATGAATATATTAAAACATATTAGTAATAAGTAATTAGTAATTAATTTATTTAATTAAAATCAGTATTACTGAAAACATTTATTAAAACATCTGAGTGTTATATTAAAATAATTAATTCCTTTGTAATTTGTGCAAATAAATTCTTCATTACAAATTAATCAGATAAAATATAGAGATATGTAGATTAAATTTTTGATGAATTTTAAAATATCACTAACCTAACATCAAATTCAAAAAAAAAAACAAATTAGAACACTTATAAACATAATTTTGAAAATATGCAGTATAAACATATATTATTAATATATATATATTATTTAGTATATAAATATATATTATTTATATTAATGGAATCTACAAAGATGCTTTTATATATATATATATATCATATATATATATATATATCAGTATATATATATATATATATATATATATATATATATATATATCAATATATATATATATATATATATATATATATATATATATATATATTGATTAATCTATAATTTATAAACAATCTACAAAGGAATCTATATCTATATAAGGAATATATAAAGAAACTTATAGATATAATTTTAAAAGTGCTATTAGGTGAGGTATAGTAAAACTCATTTCCTCATAAATCAATCAAACAATGTTATAGTTAACCTAACCATGGAATACTTAACATATATAATACTTATAGTCCCAAAAAAATAATAACAGAATCATGCATCTTTAAAGACCTCGTCTTTACGTGTATCAAAAATAAAAAAAGAAAGACAATGTTATGTTATGTTATTAAAAACCGAAGAATATTTTATTGGCGTTTCTTTCCTAATTATTACATTGACAAGATGGTTCACGCGAGATAATATTTCAGAACTTCTACTGAGATTATATAGTATCGGCTTAGCTTACACTGGCCTATGTGTATCGGTTGCAAATTTATCATCCAATAAGTGGATGATAACATTGACCCATCTAATTTACTCAAAGCAGATTCAAATGTGAAAAATAGTTACTTCTGTTTTGATTATATAAAAAGTATTGATCATTTTAATAACTATTTAACTTTTTAAAGCTTATTCTTATACTTATTCTCTACCGTCCTTGAGTAGACACTGTTACCAAAAACCGAATTATTTTTTGTTGTTGTTATTTTGCACAACTAAACCCTTTTTTGACTGTACAAACCTCTTAAACGAAGTAAAGTTGACTTGAGTTAAATGTCAATTTAAGAGAGTTTTTAATACTTTTGCGCCGGAATATAATTTATTTATCATGTTTTTAAAATATCAGAAGCAAATGAAGATTTTCTAAAATCGAAAGCAATAATAGAGAGTTATAGAAGAAATATTTATTTATCATCACACAAATTGGTAAAATTTTAAGCATAAAAATATTGAAATATTAACTTTTTTTCCAGCATAAGACATAGTAAGTATTTTTAAGCGATGAATATAGGAAGCAGAGATCACCTTATTCACTTGAAGAAGTACTAAAAACTTTCGTTAAGTAACTAAACTTCTTCTTAAAATGCTATTTAAATTTGGATATATTAAAACCAAAATATGCAGCAAAGAGTTATGAACATTAGTACTTTAGTATTGCTGTTGAGATAGATTAAAGTTAATGGGTATGGGAAATAATCGATAGAACTACACTGTTTAAGTAAACTAAATATGTTCATCATTCTTGTAAGCTGAAGAGAATCTATAAAGACTTGATAGTTTAAACTCTGCTAAACTTATTTTATTTAATTTACTACAATTGTATCGTTACTTATCATACATAACAAATTAAATTAAATCTTATTTGGAAAAAATTTTATTTTATGAAATAAAATATTAAATATTTAATTATAAAATTAGTTTTTATATATTATTACTAAATATTACTAAAAAGTGTTTAACGTTTGTGTGTTTACCTGTCTTTCTGACATTTAAATTTAACCATAGTTAATATAACAGATTTGGTTATAAAACCAAGACTACTCTATAGTAGTATTGCGTTTTTCCAAGTACCAAAGTCCACATTAAAAATTTTTTAAAGAGGGCAAAATATCGCCTTAAGAAAATTGATTAACGCTCCGTGGTACATAAAAGGAGCAGATATTCATATAGATCTGAGAGTCGATTCACTTGAAAAATTCACTTGAATTCACTTGAAATTGACAGTCACAATAAACACTCAACAACATAAAAACACAGCGAAACCTAATAGACATAGGCATATACAAAGATATCAGATCATCATTTCATAAAGCCCCCGTATGTAGTTATTCTTAGTGTGACTTAAAACTGTCCACAGATAAAATAGAATCAAGATGATGATGAATCAACAACTCTGGTACACACGCATACACACTGATGATTTTAAACCGTTTATTTAATACTAAAATAATCACTATTTATTGTTAATTCCCTGGATAGTAATGCCGCGCCGTACTTGTTAAGAGCATAAATGGAAATATGTATTTATAAAACTATAGGAAATCCTTTTCATTCTTAATGATATTAATTTAGGAAACTTATTTCAACGATTTATTATATTATTTATTTAATTTTATTTAATTATTTTCATAATTACTTCGTATATGATATTTAAATAATTAGATATTATTAATACACAAAACTAGTTGTAAAACTATAAGTAAACCTTTGCATTCTTAATGATATTAATTTTGGAAACTTATTTTATCGATCTATGATATTGTTTATTTAATTTTATATAATTATTTTCAAAATTACTTTAAATACGATATTGAAATAATTAATTATTATTATTAAAAATTACGTTCGATTAAATTGACTTTTAAATATTTTTAACGTAACAATTTAAAATATTAAAAACAAAAAAAAAAACCCCTCTAGTAACTCTAATACATCACTCAACTAATTATATTAATTTATTAAAATATTAATATAATTATTTTATTAATTTTTATTAAACATTTTCGTCGAATGCTACCCTTCACTCCTTTCTTCGACCTTTTTAATGAATGCCACTTTTAATTCGATTTTATAACAAAAACACGACTTTTAAAATTCAATAATTAGTTCGAGGGGAGTTCCTCTCACTTTATTTTGAAGGGCATTTACAAAAAGCAGCAACAACCACGATTTTTTAATAGTCACTAATATAGATTTAAAAGGAAAAAATATGGTTTGCATAAGTAAAGCAAATAAATCGAACATACCAAACATAAAAGTTATCGATAAATATTAGATACTTTTTTAAATTTAATAATAAAAAAATCATGTTTGGGATTTTTTTTTAAATAATAGAAATACAAAAAGTTATTCTAAACTCTGTACTAAACAAATATATAATATATATAATACAATTTTTCCAGAAAATAGAAAAAAATTTAAATAGAATAAAACGTTATAATGCAACTCATTTGAAGAAAATAAATAAATAAGCGTTTTTAATGTAACTTATATGCACTCAAGTCCCACAAATTCAAAGTAAAATTAGAAATAATTTTTAAATTAAATTTTTGTAAAATTAATAATTAACATTTTTAATATTTATTATAATTTTGAAATAATATTTATTTAATATAAATATTAAAAAAGAAGTAAATTGTTTGGGAACTTTTTCACAACTTCAATTAGAGCTTTAAATTCCTTTTCTTCTTAAATGTAATCAACTTAGTTAGTTAAATTAAGTGTTTTTATAATTATACTAAACTTTTCAGGATTAATGTCTCTTATACGCACTCAAATCCTACAAATTCGAAGTAAAATTAGAAATAATTTGAAACTTAAATTTTTGTAAAATTAATAATTAGTAAAATTCTTAATATTTATCATAGTTTTGAAATAATATTTATTTAATATAAATATTAAAAAGAAAGTAAATTGTTTGTTAAGTGTTTTTATAATTATACTAAACTTTTCAGGACTAAGTATAGTTATTGTAAATCAAAAAGTATTTCTAGGTCATTGTTAGTCCAAAATACATTTTCCTATTCGGATGCAATTGAATTAACTGAAAAAGTATATTATGCTCGAATTGAGGTTGACACCTTGCTTTCAAGTTAATTGAATCGGTTTCATATTGCCAATTAAATAAAGTTACCACATTATTACGGACAGACAGATTTTTAGCAATTTACTTTGTGAATTTCAAGTATTAAGAAAAATTCTATTACCTTACAGACTTGATTGGGTGTGAATAATGTGTAATTTTCCACATACATTTACAACACCCGTTTGTGTAAATTTTATGTATCCTATAATGTAACTGCGCTTATAGTTTTGGAACAATAAAAAATGTATCTTTAGGGAATAAAAGCACGAAACTAAAATAGTTTGCCCTTTCTTTACGTTAGCTTTAAGGTGGGCAGTTGCCTGAGGATATCGAAGCCTGCGTATTATTATATCTTCTAAATATTTTTGAGTATTAATTAAAAAAAAAAATTTTGTGATTAAAATTGAATTCCTGAAATTCCTACTTTCCTATTCCTTCCTAATATCACTAAAAAAAATACATATTGCATATTAATTTTTCCTTTATCTTATGCTGACAAGTCTATGCCAAAACCAACAATCCAGCTATTCATTTCTTAAAAGCAAGCAACATGTTGCCGTTGCTGTTGTTGCCGTTGTTGTTGCTTGTGTTGCTGTTGTTGCTGTTTAAATTGTAGTTGGCCTTGATGGTATTATTTGAATAAAATTCAAAAAGTATATTTATTCAAAGCAACGAAAAGTTACTTAATTTACTTTAAAATTCAAAAGCGTTTAATTCAAAGTCTTGAATCAATTCTGAAGTGTGAATCGAGCAAACAATAAATGCGAGACTAGCAGTCAATCGGCGATATAGTATATATGAACATGTGCAGATAGTTAGTAGATTAATGGATAGATATTATTTGACCGACTCCATGTATATGCGTTAATTATAAATTTTAGTTTATTTACATTTTTTAAAATTTTATTTTTTTTGTTTTTTTTTTTGTGTTAAAACTACAAACTCTGCAAAACTTAAAAATTAACTATTTAACCAACACAGTTTTATTTTCTTTATCAAAATTATTCACTCATAAAAATATATAATTTTATTTTAAAATTTAATTATTTAAAAACCTTTTTGCTGCCTTGCTGATTATTAAGCTATTTTTTTTTTTGTAAACTTTTGCTTTTTCACACTTTATTTAATTTGCTGTGGATTGTTTCCTTTCAAAATTGAACTTGCTCCAAATGATTAGACGCCTTCAATTCCAAATTCGTTCAAATTCGTTTAAAATATTTATTGTATCTTTTATAATAAAATTGTGTGACTAAAATTCTAACTAGCAAAGTTAACCACCGAATGTCAACTGAGAGAAAATCAGTGCTGATGCCGTATTTAAGCCGAAAATAAGTTCAGGTCCGGTTCAGCATAAAAGCGTATGACTCAGTGCGGCGCTAATAATAACTACAACGCGTGAATGAACTCGCCGTTTAACGAAAGGCAAGTACTTTACTTTTTGCCAGATCTGCTCAAGCTGCTTTAATTATCTCTCATTAAATTTAAATAGTGATTTGTAGTATTGTGCTTTTAGCTCTATCATTACGTCGATAATGTAACAGTATTTAGTGAATAGAATGTTAATATAGAGCACTTTAGCATGATGTTATCAGGACTTAACAACCATACAGAAAGCTGCTTTAAATACATTACTAAATAATTTTACACTTTATATTAAAATTCAATAAGAAAAACAACAATATTCAATTCATAAATTAATTATTCATACTAAATTAACCTCTAAAACTATGTTCACACCTGATTAATATATTTTTGTTCGCATTTTGTATGGATTTTGTATGAAAAATGACACTTGTTCTAAAGATAGTCTAAAACTTTTTTCATAAAAGTTTTTTATATTTTTGTATGGTATAATTGATCAATATTAAATTAAACACAAATGTTTAAATTAATTTAAAAAAATATATTTTTTTTGCATACCTATATTTTTTTTTTTGCATACTATACCTTACTATATACTTTACTATAAACAATTATACTTTACTATAGACTATAGCAACTATAGCAATATAGTTGCTAGTTATTTTTATGTCCGTTAAGGAGTGCTTTCACTTTATTTAAAATCTTTATAATTTATTGTTTTAATGACCAAATATTATTTATATATTTTTAAGGGGGTTAAACATAAATGTTTAAATTAACTTTAAAAAATATATAGTCTTTAAATATAGTCTTTATTTACCTTTACTACAGACCATAGTCAAAATGTTGGTTTGATGTTATATAAATTTTTAATTATTAATTAATTTATAATAAATACAAAAAATTTAATAATTATATATCAATTCATTAAATTATTTATAATCCATAAAAATAATTCTTAACTACTATTTTGTCCCCTTTAATAATAATTTATATAAATTTATAATTATTACAAAATGAATAATTAATTTATAAGAAATAACAAAATTTAATAACTATATATTAATTAAATAAATTATTTATAATTCATAAAAATAATTCTTAACCACAATTTCGTCCTCTTTAATAATAATTTACATAAATTTTATTAATTTCTTTTATAATAATTAAATTTATTATATGGTATTATTATTATTAATTTTTATATTAAACATAAATAATAATAATATATATTTTAGATAATTACTATCTAAAAAATTTGTTTATTAATAACGAAATAAAATTGAAATTTATTATATATTCTCATTCTACAATAATTTTCAGTCACTAAATTCTACTAATAATCTACTACAATTACGCAAATTTTCTTTTGGTGTAGCAGTAAAACTACATTATTTTATTTTTATGGAATACTAAATAAATGAATTTAAATTTAAATCTAAATTTAACATTATAACCATATTTTTATTATTGTCGAAAACAACTATGAACGTAAGTATTTGCTTCTGTAGCTCCCCAATCTATACAGTAATTTGTATTTGCTCACGATGACTTCTGGTTTTGACAATCCTGCTATAGACTATAGTCAAAATGTTGAAGCAAATAAAATATATTTTTCGATTATATTTTAAATGTTTAAGTATTATTTAACATTGACCAATAAGTCCGTTCAAAAATATATAAATAAAATTTGGTCATTAAAACAATAAATTAAAAAGATTTTTAATAAAATGAAAGCAACCTCAAAAATAACTAGCAAGTCTGTTTAGTATAAGAAGTGTCCTTTTAAAACAGAGTACCTGTATAAAAAATTAGAATTGGATACTATATAGGAACATTATATAAATCAGAGAGATGTCCATTTGTGAGACAATGGGGGTTTTCCAAAAAAATCACTATATACTCAAAAAGTTCTTAACATCATTTACTAAAATAATGAAATCATTGATTACAATGAGATATATGTCACACTATATCTCAATAAAATTCATATCAACTTTGAAGCAACCTCTTCACTTCACCATTGCAAGTGCTCTATGCTTTATAGTGAGATAATTAAAAAACAAAGAACTAGTTAACAAAACCAAAACAGAACACAACTAACAAAGACCAACACAAAAATAATTTAAAAAAAACTGCAGCAAAAACAAATAAAAGTGCTCAAACAGCACCAAAAAAACGAGAAAGACAAGAAAAACGAATGTAAGGTTATGCCTTAAAATTTTTAAGCATTAATTAAGTAATTAATTAAATTTTTATCACACTTAAATAAAAATACGTTGAAACACGAATAGAATGAAATCTCTAAATCTCTATTAACGAACTTAATATCCGAATAAAATAGCAGCAGTTCAAAGCGGCAACAACAAAATATATTTCGAATACATATAGGTTAGTATTGGCACTTACAGTGTTACCATGTTACTTAATTACCCAGTTTGTTATTCAATATCGTGTATACATTTTATATTATTATCATGTTTCCACTGCAGGTAAATCAATTTATGTTAAACAAATTAAGATGTGGTCGTTTCCATTGGCATAACTTGATTTATGCACGTGATAGGGCTTTTAAGAATGACGAAAGCTCTTTGTGCAACAAATCAAGTTTCATAAATCAAAAAAACTGCTTTAATCAAGACAATGGAAATATGCTATAAGCGTTCTTGCAGATTTTGTATGGATTCAAGATTAAATATGGTATATGTTTTAATAACATTACGTTAAATAGATTTGTGAAGCATTATAATATTTTGTAGTTTTGTTGGTGGGAGAACTTTCACAACTCTTCAAAAAAAGAATACCTATACATATCGTTTTATTCACTACATGCCCCGAGGTAATATTTTAGAATAATTTTTATTCTTTAATTGATCCGGGTATCTTTTAGGAACTACATACCAGGTGTGTATGCTTGCTTTGTGAATTATACAGTTAATAAATGAGATTATGGTTTTAATTAATCTGATCAATTTTTGGTATTTTCACAGAAAATGATAAATTCTCTTCCTTTCTTATTCTTCACTACTACTTCTTCTGATAATTTTACATAGGGAAGTGTTGTTTTTTTTAATTCTACCGAAAAATACGAAGACGCTAAGTTAAATGGTACTTATACTCTATAACTATAAGTTTTTTTGAGTTAAAAATTATTTAATAATAAACTGAATAGCAGCCTTTTAAAATTTTACTATAACACATTCTTCTACTTTAGCACTACAGTCCATTGTGAATCTTGTCTTCATTAACGACCTCTGGAACGGATATCGTCTTTTAATTTATGATATCAAAGAAATACTGTCACGCTTTTTAAAAACTTTAACAAATTGTGATTCGTGAAGAGATTACAAATGCTTGTGATAATTTTTAGTCTATGGCCTATGGCCTAGTATAACACAAAAATGAATTTTTCGCACGAAAAATTAACATAAGACTACTTACAAAAAACATGTTTTTCGTGCGAAAAATAAACATAAAACTCCATATAAAAAATATATTTTTGTGCGAAAAATTAACATATTATTCTATAAAAAAAACATGTTTTTCGTACGAAAAATAAATATAAGACTCCGTACAAAATATATTTTTATTAACATGATTCCATATAAAAAATTTGTTTCTCAAAATTCTGACTTGTGAAAAATTATTTTTATTTCAAGATTTGTCAATTTTCGCAACACATATTAGTACTAGACAATAGACGAAAAATTGTCCCGCCTAGAATAGGTTTCGCTACTGAACTTGCCATCCGAAAGCACTAACTGAAAAGGTGCACACGCATATATATATATATATATATATATATATATGTATATTCACATACTCATAAGACTTTAAGCAGAAACAGTACGGAAAAAGCATACAGTCTATCGGCAATGTATCCAACAATACATCGCTCCGCTCTAAAGGGCGCAATTACGGAACAATGCTTTGCAAATTTTTGGGGGCATGCAGTATTGGGCCTGTTGGGACGAGGAAGAAGCAACAAGTGTACACTTAGTGAGAAATTTGTGTTTATGGCATAGAACTTTTAAAAGAAAAAGGTACTTTAAGAAGTTTGATAAGCACAAAGCACATTTCTATTTAATTAATTTAATTATTTTATAATTATTATTATTATTATAATTATAATTGTTACGATTGTAGTTTCTTACCTAACTCTATGTTATTTTTATAATTATTCAGCATACTAAGAAGCTCAGTAGAAGGGGAATAAGATACAAATTAATTCAATTTAATTCATGTAAAATGGTTGCATTAATTAAATTAATAATTAGTTATTAATTAATTTATTGTAAGTTCGAAATGAATGCTTTTCAAATTAGGCAAACGTATTAATAAATTTAAATAAAAACTTTAAAAACATGCATTGACCTCCCGTCCAACGAGCCGTTTCAACTGCTTATATCGTACAATACCATATATCTGAAAGTAGCGCACCTCTCCTTCTGCCCAGCAATTCATTAGCCTTGTTAGTAATAATAAAGTTCGTGCCGAGCGCTCTTGCTCGTTATTGAATATTTGCATGTAATTTACAATGAAGAAAAATGTATCTGTAAGCACACGCACAAAAAGTATCTATGAAATACTCTACGAATGGAATGCGTAACTGTTTGTGTTGGGGCTGGTGCCAGTGACGATGCCAAAGTTGCTCATGTTGATGCTGTGATGACGTATTTTCTGGTATTTTTGCTTTACTCGGGGATTTCCTCGCTCCGTTAAAGAGTATATTTATTTCATATGTGTTTATTATTTATATGACGCAAAAAACTTGCATCTACAACTTCAGATACCTGCGTGGGTCATGTGATAAATAACAAAATAAGCTCGCAGTCTTATCATTAACAGTGCTACTGTTTATTGCGGGCTCTCTCATTCGCGCTATACATGATGGCGCCGGTATTTCTTACTGC